TTCTGTCTCTCTTGCTTAGTGCTATGCCCTAGAGCTCTGTAAAGGAGTTGCTGGTCTCCGCAGTTCCTCTGCCCCTACCTCTTTACAGTGTCATACACAGTTAATTTGTGCAGTCTTCTACCTAAAACCCACGGTAGTGAGGTACTGTCACAGCAGTAAAACAGATGCAAGAAAGCTGTACGTAGCTTAAGAATTACAGCTCTGCCCCAAGGTTTAATTTAAATCATTAAAGACCACTGGTCTGGATTCTGAAGCCAGCATCTTGCCGTGGCCAGATAACAACCACTGAGGACTGAGGACATCAGGACTCTGGGGAAAAAAACCCATCATCAGGAGCAACTGTAATGGAAGACGGGGCAATGGATGGTCTCTTGGGATCAACATCACGTTAGGCAGGACGCACACATATAAACTGCTACCACTTTCCTTCACAGTCTGGGGCGCTGTGTGAGCGCTGCCCATGTCCTGCCCCTCTGCCTGGTGTGACGGTACAAACGACTGCTGAACAGACGGTGTCTCCTCCCTAGGAGGAGCATCTGCAGAAGCAGGGCAACTCTTCCAGAGAGCTCAGTAGCTAAACCAAGAGACTGTTTAGACTCCCTCAGTTTTGGGGGCTTCACATGCACTTTCTTTTATGGCTATACCTTCTTCCCAGAGCTGAAAGTACCTACGCTTGACGTCCCCCATCGAATTCGCTGCCACCTCAGTCAACAACAGCGTTATTTTAATGACGTTTTTGGTAGCTGAACTTTTGGCGTTGGCGCTGCTTCCCCAGGAGCGGGGTGATGTGCCCGGGACACAAAGCCATTCTGGTCCAGCTGCCAGGCGGTATCTACCATCGCTCCGATGACAATTTACTCTTTTCCCCTGCACTCTGGTGCCTCGATAATTAGGGGCTTTCTCCAGTGAAACAACTGGAAGTTGAAGGAGTTGGAAGTACATTGTTAATAGAAAGGGAAACCTATAAGAAGTGCTTTTAACACCTAAAGCGAACCTTGTTCTGTCAAAAGACTGAAGGCTTTTACCTCTGCTCCTTTTACATATTCTGTGAAATTTTAACACCCGTTGAACTAGAATGCACTTCAATAAATATTAAATTTTGTACCATACCAAAAAGGTGCGAGTTGATGGCATAACGGCATGTCTGCATAACACATCAAGAACATATGACAGAATGCACACTGATGACAAAATACTCACTGACACAGGGAGAAAAGGAATAGGAGAAAAATAAAAGCAGCTCAGAATACGTTCACGAACATGAAGCCTCTGCCTTAAGTGGCTTAGCTAATGGGAACTTTTCTAAAGCATTAAACATGGCCTCCCAAGTGTGATCATTCCATGAACCCAAATGTCAGCTTCCAGTCACTAGCTGGCATTCAAAACAAGTTTTCCCACTTATTGTAAAAGAGCGGTTATCTGCTGGCTAACTCCCCTTGAAATCCCGAGATAACTCGCAGACTCCAGACACAGTCCCACTTCTCTCACGCTCCTAATCCTGAAAGTACAGATAGTTCACCAAAGGGAGGAAAGGCAGCCTGAGAACTTTAAAAAAATAAAATTAAAGAAAGAATGAGGCCAATTTTCACCTATCACTATGATCTCTAAATTGCCTTTAATAAGCTTCTGCAATAAAACAGGGAGCCTGGATTGTGGGCTGCTCGTCTGCGAAGGAGACAGCTCTATCTCCACGCCGTGGCTTCTGCCTCTGTCCCGGGCATATTAACTTCATTTATCTCCTCCCACAGACTGAAGGAGAAATAACCAGCTCTTGATTTCAGCACCTGCCCTTTATCTCTCTGTTTATGCAGAAGTCTTCTAAAAGGCTAATTACTCGGCTTGGACTTTCCCTGCCTTCCGCAGTACACGGCTAAAAGCATACGCTTAAAATAATGTTAATTATATTGTTTGTCTCCAGTCAGATTGCTCTGGGACTGGAAGGAAAATACGAGTTAGATCTCCCATTTCCCAATAATTATTTGCTGAGAAAACGCAGGCTATCTTTCCTCACACACACACACAAATATATATATATATATATGTGACCTACTGCTAACACACACACACTCGCTTTGCATCCCACGTTGCTTCCCACCGTGAAAGGGAGCAGGAGTACCAGGGTGTGCTACAAAACTGATAAGCACCATTATGCAGATCAGGATCGTGGCTCTAAGTGCTGTTATTTTTAGTTGACGTTTATTCATGTTTGAACTATGGTCTAAGCAACAGACTCAAGATCTGAATACACGTAACGCCTCCTGAATGCTCACTTCCTCGACAAAGGCCAAGATAAGCAACTTGAAAACATTCACCGTAATTATCTGTGCATACATCGGGTACTTATATACAAGAAAAAAACCCACCATTGTCCGAGCTGCAGGGAAGCAAGTGAGTAAAACCGCTGCTTCAGTCCTCATTTTTCCAAATCAAACCCTCTTTGTGTTTCAACCGCCTCCCCCAGAGTGCTTCAGCGGAAGATGCTAATTTCTAGGAGGTCGGAGTAATATCTCTGCAGGGTCTCTTGTACTTTAGAGCACTTCAGTATGTTATGGCAAAAGGCAAGGATGGCTTGAAAATTAATTAGCAATTAACTGCAAAGCTGATCTATAAATCCTCAGGATTAAACTCCACAGCTTTGCACGTTGTCATTACATGTAGGTCATGTCAACCCAGATGCAACAGACCCCTAATTCCTCCGCACATTGTCCAAGCTGGCCAGGCACAAGCCAACATCCAGAAGCCACTTCTCAGAATTGGCTGTGCACAAGCCAGCACGTGTTAGAAAAATGTCCTTTCAGCAGGTAATATTAGTTGCTCTACGCAGCTAGACAGCTTCCAGCTCGCAGATGTGAGCTTAGCGATGTGAACAGCCGCAGAGCCTATTGTGCAGGCAAAGCGACTGCTCCCACCCATCCAGACATGCCCAGAGAGTGTCATTAAAGACATGTGGATTAAAGCTTTCTCCTTTATTTAGCTGCTGAAATTCCTCAGAGTTGCCAGAGTTATTGTGTGACTATATCTTTAGTCTGATCTTAATATGATTTTGTCGAGCTTTAGAATAGCTTCCCCTGAAAACCTCAGAGTCTGAAGTGGGAAGACCTGAGGAACTGTGAGACTCCTAGGAGAGCGGTACAAGGACGGAGGGCATGAAGACTCACAAGGTCATTTCTATAGGAGGGAATCACGTGCTGCTCATCATTACTGTCTGTGCAAAGAAAGGCTGTTATTTGCATTTACAAATTAATGTGTGACGTTACAGACACCAAGGTCAGTGTCACCAACTTTTCTCCATGCAGGAGTCACCTGCTCTGGCCAAACTGCTGCTCAGCAAAAGGATTTTGAAAAAAAAAATGATAAAACCCAGTAGGTCAAAGTGGGCAGTGCAGAAGAATTATGTGCCAGACTGTCTGTGTTCACTTGGTAACCCTGCCCCCAAACTCAAGTCCTTTGGAGGAAAGGTAAGCGCTCCAAGTCATACTGTAAGCGTCCTTAAAATGGGAAGTACTCAACTGCTTGGTAAGGACAACAGAGCTTGGCACTTGTCAAAAAATGTTGATCTGTTGATTTAAGTGGCAATATAAACATGTCATTTTGAACGCTATATATCATTAATGCAGAAAATTTAAACTTGATGGGATTTCACTCCAGAAACGACATTTCTTTAAGTTGTGGCCCAACATGCAAGTCAATCTGTCACACTAAGTAACTGATAAAACCTTCATTTTTTTGTAAGCAGCGGATTTATTTAGCAATGGCTCTATGTCAAGAAGGAATCACGGTCGCCTCTTAACATAAGAGCTTTTAATTATCTGCATGTAAGAATAAGTTGTCATAGAAAACGCAAAAGGTCCAGTGTTTCTCTCTATTCACAGCATCACAGTGTAGCAAGGACACAACCTGGAGGGTTGGATTTGGATCCAACAACTCCTCTGGCGTTACTTAGGCTATTCCTGTACTGCGGCTCAGGACTCGGACTCTAGACCAATCTCTCCTGAAGTAATTCAGTCCGAGTGACTAAATACATGCCATCTCAGGGGCACAGGGAACTATAGGAAAGACATTAGTATATGCAGCCAGCTAGACAATTCCCACTGGGTGTTTTAAAATTACCAGGGTATAAATAAATTGCCAGCCGTGGCCAATGGCCATGCGTAGTCCGTGTGCCTTATCAATGATATTTTCCTAAAGTTATCACAAAAGAAATGGGTCTTGAGAAGGTGCTCCCGCTCTCTTATCATGGAGTAGGAACAAAAATGGTTCTGCAGAAAGCAGACAGTATTTAAAATACACTTGGCATAACGAAGAAGAAAATTCGTCGTGTGTTTAAAAAAAACACACATAACTCCCATTTACTCACTTACCTACTTACACAGATTTCATTATTGCAGTATTTAAACATCACACAGCCATTAATAGATTTTAGCCTCACAAAAGCTGTCAAGTTGGTAAATCCCTCATGAGATTTGAGAGATTCTCAGAAGAGAACGGAGGGGTCTGCTCAGGATTATAAAGTTCACGGTCATGTTGACCACACTTACAGGTCCTGAATTGATTTTCAGTAGGTTGGTTAATTCTTAACTAAAGCCCCAGAAATTTATCTTTGTAGCATTTTTATATAGAGCCAGATGGAGGTGCAGAGCACTAGAGAAAGAAGAATAAGTTAACAACACAAAAAAGGATGATCAAAGTTTGGTTACAGCTTAACTAAACAACAGATGGAGAGGTGTGACTGCATCTTCGAGATATGATGAAGAAAACCTTAGCCTCAGCAAATGTTAATTCCTCCACACGCTTCAATTTAATAACTAATCAAGAAAACTCACCCAAACAGCACAGATTAGGAATTTAAATTAAAACATACAGATAGGGCAATCCACAATGTAATCCCTTATCTGCCGCTATCGATAGGAGAAATGATGTTTTGATGTTATGGATGTAAAGGGTATGTATGTAATTGATTGGAACAGTACACTTTAATTGAGAAGGTCTTGAGCACTTACTCTTAGCCTGTCTTTGGGCAAAGCAACAGCTCCTTGCTTGATGATTTCCAGAACTCGCTCCACTGACAGCTCAGCTCCAGCTTGCTCTAATCGGGAGCTGAAAAAGCTGATCACCTGGAATGAAAAATCAGAGCACATAAATAAATAGAAAAGAAGAGATCTTTGTATCAATTTACACAAGAAGTTGTCATCTTCTTTTCCTGGATCAAGGTACCTGTACTTCTTAAAGAATAATCATGTTATTGCTTGTGTCGCAGCCAGGGAGACTTTGTTAGCACAATTATCAGCATCCTCCTGCAGTCATTTTTAATAGACAGATGATTTTACAACTTAACACAGACAGCTGAATTAATAAATTTACATTTCCAAGTACTGTGCACTGACATATGCTTATATTTCTATCTGTCAGTACTTCTGCAGATCAGGATTTTCGAGGCCTTCCAGTCTAATTTTTATAGTTTCGGCTAGAAATTTACTTTCATTTTGAAGCATTAAAGTAAAATCCTTATAGTTTCAATGACTCCTGGACAGAAGGCTTTAAGACAACTATTACACATCTCAAAACAAGGACAAGAGTCTATATGACTTGCCTGGGGGTTTTGTAGCATCCAAAGCCACAGCAATTGGAATGGAGAGGAAAAAAAAAAAAAAAGCCCACAAGCTCCTCTTCTCCCCAAATTAACCACCCAAAGTCCCTCACGTACCTTCCCCATCACAGATTCCAGGCCCAAGGACTTGTACGTTCCCTTTCAATACTCTCATCCTCCATGCATCTCCCTGGCAAGGCCAAGCTGCTTTTCACCATATTTCGCTCCCCACCCCCTTTCTGTGACCCAGCTGGTCCTTGTTAGCTAGAACACAGTTAGGTCAGGCTTTATCCCTCTCCAAGCTCAGCAGGTCACACCAGAAGCAGACATCCCACCGGCAGTTCTCCATGCGGGACATCAGAAAACCTCCATTTCTATAGCTCCTTTCATCCAAAAAGAGCACACTTTGCAAACGCCATCCCTTATCCCGGAGGAACTCATCAGTCACGCAGGGGATCCGAAACTCAAAACAACGCAAAAAGGGTACGGGGCAAAATTTCAACACCTACTTAAGAGTCCTTTGAAAGTACCACAAGATGGTCAGGGCCACTTGGTAGAGCCCACGCACACGTGAGCACCCAGCTACCCCTTGGCTGGAGCCACACACAGCTTCCAGTTGCTGCACATGCTGCTGGTAGGTTCCCCGACGTCTCGTAGGCTTCGGCCATCTCTCCTCTGAAAAGTACTAATGTCCACTTGTATCTCAATCCCAACCTCCAGCACATCGAGTAATCTTTGTTAACTCTCCCAAGTAGAAGGGGGGAAAGGTGTATTATACTACCAAATCTCTGCTGAGCTCTCTTTGCTCCGTAGTGAGACCCAGCTAGAGCCCAAAACCATTACCCTAATTATATCTCTCAGCTCAGCTGCTGTTAATGAAACAAAGACAGCTGATGGCTTGATTACTGTGAGATTCAAATTTGTTGTTCCCCTCCTGTGATCCCCGAAACCCTAGCCCTTGTTTTGAGCAGGTAGATTTGCTGGATCACAGAGCAATTTTCTCTAGAAGCTGCAGCACCGAGCGAGAGAGAGACAGGTGACAATTGCTGGAAGTTGCTTTTTGGGGTTGTTGTGGTTTGGCTTTTTTTCTTTTTTTGGTTCTGTTTTGTTTTAAACAACAGAAGTGTGGAAATCAGTCAAGAGAAAATTCAGGTTTAGCCTTCTATACTGTCCTTACGATTACCTCCATACTTGAATAGAAGGGAGAATTTCACTGCCAACTCTGGCAGATGTTGCAGGTAGGTTTTACATTCTTACAGATAAGGACCCACTGTAGCGCTGTGATCTCTGATCCTTGGAAAAAAACAGGAGTAGGATGATGTGCTGACTTCGTAAGCAAAGGAGCTGGAGGGAGGAACCAGAAATTAGAGAGGAAAATGGCAAGAAACGGCTTGCGCAAAAAGCGTGAGGACCTCGGAGTGAGGCTGACATGGTTTTGGCATAGAGTCTGGGACAAATTGCTGGTAGAGGATACACAGCTCATAGAGGAACGAGAAAGTTGCCCACAAACTTCGAAAGAAAAAACCCATCTTCCTGCACTTCAACACTCCTCTGTTGTCAGTAATCGCTGCTGAAACCTATCCTCGCCCAGGGCAGGCTCGCGGAGAGAATCCATCCCACTAGTGCTGCCTCGTTAGCTCAAGCTCTGCTAAACCACAACAAAAGCAAAATTTAATATTTGGCTTTTAATGAATAGGATAAAATACTATCATAATGCATACGCATAAAAAAACTGAATGAAGATCGCAGATACTACCTGAATCCTGGTGTTTCCTATTTTGGAAAGTCAAAGCCTCCAATCTTAACGTGTTTTTAAAAGACTTTAATGTTTTTGTGGTAAAGGTACTAATCTTGGTTGAGTTATATTTCACAAAGAACAGAAGTGCGATAGGCTTCCAGTATTTTCAGGCTATGTCAGCATTTCACAGAACTTTGAACGGCTATTTTTGGTGAAGACTGAAATGAAAAATATCTACTTAAACACTAATACTTATCTCTAAGCATTATTTGCGTTACTACTTCAGACAATATAGAATCGGAGTAATTCTTGATAGGAACTCAAAAGCTGTGTGTTTCCAGCTGTGGCCAGCTAAGGGGGGGAGGGCAGGGGAAAAAAAAAAAGATGAGTTATACAGAAGAGAGCCTAAAAGAGGCATTTTCTTATTACCATTAGATCAGTAATAAAACCAAGAAGCATCCAGCATTACATCCCTACTGCCCAAGCTCCCATCTCTTCTGTAGCAGGTCTAACGCTTTACCTAGTAATCTGCCCAAATATAAAAGCTTAACATAATAGTAAAGAAGAGTAGCCTTTTCCTTTGAAAGAACTTCAATTATCTTCCACGCGTAAGTAACAGAGCTGCATTTAAAATAATCATGAAAATTAACAGATTTCAACTCCTTGTCCACTTAAAAAGAAAACGAACCAGAAAAAGCAAACTGACTGGATAATATTAAATGAGTTTCAAGTTTTAGCACATGCTTTAAAACCCAATGCTGAGCATATTACTGTAATGTATAGAAAAAAGCAGATCTCCGGGCAAACGAACTAGACTGAGAGATGGACATTTGTTTTTTTCTTATGGTGTCCATTTTTTGATATTCTGAAAATTATTTTTCTCATTATTTGGGCAACTGGTCTAAGAAAACAGAAAACAACTGCAAAGACTGCTCAAGAAGAAGAATAACAAGAAACTTAACGAGTCGCTGTGAATTACTCGTATCCAAGTCATGCTGCGCGCTGAAAGGCCCTCTCCATGCAAGGAACATAACCCCTTTTAAAGAGCGCTCTCTCCAATCTGGCTTCCATATTAACAGGGATTAAAAGGCACGTCTAATCCTGGATTAGACAACCCCTCACCAGCAATATCTTATCAGCGTCCAGATAAAACGGTGTATCTGCCCTGCGCAGAGAGCCTAATTCTGGTTGTGCGAGCTACCCAACCATGTGGTGCGAGGGGCATGCAGCGACACGGCTTGGTCACCATCAGCTCAGGGATTTCCAGGCTTTGTATTAACGTACCATTAATATACTCGAGATCTCTAAACAAAAACTCTTTCCTATAGTGATTTCCAAAATCGGTTTTCATAAAGTTTTTCCATTTAAGAGGTCAATTTTCCCCGAGAGACTCATCTTTCGACCTTTTGTTTTCTAAACAATAAATTTACAAAATATTTCCAGAGATTAAAAGTGCTGCAAGAAAGCTAGAATGATTTCAAATAGACATTTTAGTTTTTGGAGATTTTTTTTTTTTTTAAGATTATGAGGGAATAACCACAATGTCTATTATTTTACCCATCTATTGTTTTCAACAGGGCTGAAAGGCTGAAGTAAAGAAATATTTCTATTTACTATAGCATGCACCAAGCAGCAGAGCTATCAAAGACAAGATGTTTTCTCCACTTGGGTGCTTTCAGTGGATGCTGAAGCGCCGCGATGCCCCAGCCCATTCCCAGGCAGTGCCGCTGCCTAACTAACACTACAGCTCCTCGCTTGCTCCTCCAGCTAAAAATAACAGCGCGATTCACTGCTGCCTCCTCTGCCCGCAACTGTCAAGGTTAACTCTGCAAAAGAGAAAAAAACCCTAACTTGGCACCAAATGAAAAAGTTCTGATTCCTTTTTTTGTCTTTTTTTTTTTCCCCCCCTTTGGAAAGTGATGAAAAGAGAAAGACGCACAGTTTGACGTTGGCTATTTTACATTTCTAGCCGCTGGTAGAGTAACACGCTGTATTGACGGCACACTGAAAGGAGAAGAAAAGGAGAAAACAAACCTCTTGTCATAAAGTACCGCAGGATTAGCACTTCAGCTAAGTAGCTTCCTTAGGAAAACATAAATCACAGCTATGTTCAGTAGCCGATAGTCATACCCTCCGTCCTGGAGCAAAAGTGAGGCAAAGCCAACCCTCGCTGATTTAAGAAGGGACGAAGTGGCTTCAGGTGATTCAACAGCAGGAGAAACACCAAAGGTTTATCAGCAAACTTGAAGTACTGAAGTTTTTCAGATTCACCTTGAAACCAGGAGCGTGTTCAAAGACACATGAACTCTTCAAGGTGCTCTGCTCTTCTCATCTCCCCACTCCTTCACTGCAAGTCCTGCAGGTCTTGAAATAGGAGTTGCTATGCCAGAGCCAAGCAACTCAACCGATCTTAAAATCTAGCAGGGAAACGTCTTTGGAGAAGTAAATTCCTAGTAGGAAATTGCATCAATCGAACCCTTCGCATCACTAAACCATCGCTCCCGACCTCCTGATTTCTATCAGACTATTTTGCAAACAAAATTCTAGCAGCTCCTAGTTAAGCCTGTTCAACCACATGATATCTATCACTAGCTCATAGGAAATATGAAAGTAATGAAAGCCAGTGAGTTCTCACGATGGCCACGAACCAAACTCATCTTTAGGAATGACTAATGAAGAGCCTCCACCAAATTCCTGACACATCTGAGGTTGCTGACCAAATTATAGACCACCTCTGAAACAGAGGCCTATAGATAGTTCACAGCTGAAACGCTTCTGCAGGAGGCCAGAACAGGAACCATAGCATTCCTCTTTGTTCACCATCCAGAGGAAGAATATCCCATTTAGCTAAACAAGATGCACAATATCCTGTTAAGATGACTTTCTAAAATGAAAAGTAAATTAATAGGAAACAGAAGGTATTTTGATTTCAGTTTCTTCTGTACGGCATTAACTGTTCCCGTATGTTCCCAATCAGAGGGCAACAGTGATTTTTAGCTTATTTATAACAACCCAGAGGCAGGTAAGTAGTTTTCAATAAAAGAGTGTTCTATACACTGATGACCCTTAAACGTTTACCTGTTTTTTTTGCCTCAACTATGAAGCACGCAGAGGTTACGTGTTATCTCCAGAGCAACCCGAATGGTCCAAATCCTGAGGCAAAGTCCTTAGTCACTGTGACCAAGTCTGTCCCGCAGTTAACCCGGGCAATTGCCGCTCTGGTCTGAGCAGCTGGTGGAGCTGCAGAGCCACCCCCATATTCACGTCTGCCTACAGACGTGTCTGCTCTGTCCTCTGCCCCAGCGTCATCCTGCCAAATGTCTGCTATCCAGAGGTCTCCAATGCTGAAGTGCCTGGAAACCTACCACAGCGCTTCGTTACTATTAACGTTAGAAAGTCTCTCCTCATGAACCTGTGAATCCACAAGTATGTGCAACAGGTTATTCCCTTTCCTTTCACAGCAGTGTTTTATTTGAAAAATATCACATCGCCTTTAGCCTTCCTTTGGCTGATCAGCACCTGTTCTATTTGTCCTTAGAGGTCCTGTTTTCTGCAGCTCTTGTTTCTCCCTAGAATTTCTTCCGTGGTGCCTAAACCCAGAGTAATCCGGCTAAGAAGTCACTAGCATGAGTAGGCTTGGAGGACACCTCTGGGCTATTCTCCCTTTGCATACCCGCACAGGACTGCAGCAGATGCCTCTTTCCATTTGCACCGCCAACTACTCGTTACTATCTTCTCAGTACACTTTCCAACTAATTTTGCATCCACTTTTTGGCATTTTCACCCCTTCCGTGCTTCCTATTCGCTTTATGAGAACATTATGTGCAGCAGAGTAAAACCAATAACTATTAAAGTCAAGGTAAGTCATACCCATTTTATACATTCTTGACAAGGCAAGCTGGCAACTGTTTTAGTGTCCAAAAATCATTACAGATTGCACATATTCTGTATTTTGGTCAGTTTTCTTCAATATAGAACATTACCATGCTGTCTGATAGTATTTCTGTATGAAATACAAATCTGGACTAGAGCTTAGGATCAGAAAATCTTACACGTAATGTAAGGAGGATTTTGCTAAAGCACAGAAGGATGTTGGAGTGACCCAGAACATAAAATGCACCTGCCGCTTGTGTGGACCTCTAGTGGCATCTGATGACGGAAATTACACTCATACTTCCACTACAGGGTGGGTGGAGAGAATCCAAGGGTACTTTGCCATTTAATGACCAGAAAGAGTACGGATGGAGAGAATCAGGATGTAGCACAGCCCCTGAAGACATGCTTTGGGGCCTTCAGAAAGGTCACTTCTCCCCACCCTTCCACTATCAAAAGCTGCAACATCTACCATTTACACCTAGGGTTTACAGGCTTTGGGCCACCAAATTACATTGAGAGCAGCAGCCTGAAACCCAGCAGAGCTCCCTGATACATGGGAAGCTGGTGGATCCATCCTCCTCCGACTAACCAGCCTTGGCCACACGAAAAGCCCGGCCAGCTCACTATTCTGTCTCTGACAGTAGGCTGGGATGGATGCTTAAATAAGAATGTAAGAGCAGGTCAAGAATAGGGAGATCCTCCCCATGAATACACCCTCCCGGCTTCCAGCAACGTACAGTTTAGGAATTTATTGAGCCAAATATTTAACGATTTTTTTTTTCCCTCCCCCCATGATTTTCTGACTCCTTTTGGAGCACACCAACGTTTCAGACATTCACAATGTCCTGTGGCCGTGAGGATGGAGCTCCCACCTCCATCACTGCAGAGAAAAGCCTGAGCAAAGTCTGGGAGCCAGGAACTCATTTTGGTTCTTCTCAGATGCTGCCCAGATGGTTCCAGACAAGCTCCCCCCCACGCGTATAGTAAAACTAACATGATTTGCCACTTTTTCAAGGGATAGGAAGACCAGTTAAAACATTTTGGCTGTAGCACACAAGACAAAGACTGGTTCTGTCTGGGATGGTAGTGCTGCCGATACCGTGTATGAAGTGGAGGACGTGACAGGGTAGAAGAGGAGTCAGCTGAATCTAATCTTTTATTCAGATCTGCAAGCCTGACAGCTCTCACCACTTGCCAGCTGGTGACAGGTACATTTAAAAAAAAAAAAAAAAAAAATCTTTTTTTGACATCCTCGCTTCTCTAACAAAAGAGCTATTTAAAAATTCAACATGCTCCTTTGGAAAGCTTTAAATAGTTTCTGAATGTAACTGGCATTATGCTGTAACCCAATATTAAAGAGTTTTGGGGAGGAATTGTTTAAATTGTTGAAGAAAACCTACATTTAAGTGTTACAAAGGAAAGGACGTGCTGCTATCTGTGGGGGGCACGGGGCTGTCATGCAGAAGGATCTGGCCACCACTACTTTTCCTCGATCTGGACAAGTAACCAGAGAAGGTCCCTATCTCAGTCAGGAACGAAGACGACTGTTATCTTCACTGCACCATATCCTCTCTTTACACAACTTGAAGACATCTTGTCTTAATCATCCAGGCAGTATCATGCTGGCTGTAGTCTGCAGCTGCCAAAAGTTTGGAGAGTTTTGAGCTCCGAATCGTCTGTTCTTCAAGCTCTTGCATGACCAGAAAATATGAAGTGAGAACAGAAGAGGAAGGGATGGGTACAGAGCAGGATTTCAGTTCGACATTTAAAATTACTTTCCTTTATGGATCATCAGAAATCTGTCAATCTTCTGTAATATTTTAAAACAAAAGCAGATCAAACCAGAACCTCAGCAGACTTTTATTCACACCGAATAAATGCACTATTCACTGCAGCAAGAAATTTAGCATCCTGTTCAGCCTTCCCTTCCAGTATTTTGCATCCAGTGGTCACAGCGTGACTTCAAGCATTGCTCAGCTCTGCAAATACTGACTAGAGGACAGAGAAATATTTCTCGCACTGAAAATCTATTATTTGCTAGCAGGAATCATTACTCAGGTTCTCAATATGAACATTAAAGCCACTATCAGATGCAGCAGTAATTAAGTAACAACTGTTTTCCAAAGTCATACTCCATGGAGAACCACACCAGTAACAGCTTCTGATCCACCGCTATTTCCTTTTGTTTTCTTCTAAAATGTCTACTTACCCAAAGGGATTGCTGTGGAGAGGGAGACATTTTGTAGGTGAAAGCAACACACATTCAGATACAGCTCAGGGAACAAGGCAGCTGAACATCTGCTCTTAGCTATTTTTAAAAAATCCCCCATATTCATTAATAGGCTCGTGATGGGAGTAAGAGAAAAGAAAAAGATTGGTGGATGATGAAAATCTGCTTTTCCTCCCCCAAAAGACAGGTTTCTAACAAGGGGCAGTTAAGAGAAGCTGACGCTGTCCTTCCTTAGGGGACTGAAAGATGTGTAACAGGTTGGGAGTTCCTTACCAGATGCATCCCAAATCCCCCTGGCTCTGCCGAGTTAAAGATGTTGCCCAGAAGAAGTCACAGTGGAGGCCCAGAAAACAGGGGAGAGAAACACAACATTTTAATACTTTCTAAAATAAACTGATAGAGATGATGAATATTTTCCACCCCTCAAAAGGATAAAGAGATCGAGTAACAACATGTAAGCATCCTTTAAATAATGTATCACTTACCAGATCTATATTTTGCATTATGTCCTGGAAGGAGGGGTGAGTTCGAAACTGCTCAAACAGATCCCGCTTGTAAAGCAGCGCGTACACCAAGTTTGGGTTGTGATGAAGAGAATTTGTCAGGCAGGAGTTGATGATCTCCAGCATCATTCGGATCACTTCCTCGATCACATTCAGATCTTGCGCCTTTAAGAAAGGAATAAAAGGTTAGTGCGCCCTTTTCCATTGTAAAATATATCAGGTAATAAAGACAGAGCACAGGTAATTATTACTAATGGAGCTATTAGCTGGTTAACGTCTCAACGGTGAAGCAAATCTGGCATGCCTGTATCTGGAAAGAGATCTGTTTTCTCCTGTAATAACCAAAATTTTAACCGAAATGCATTGCGCTCTAGTATTCAGCCTCATAGCTTGATTCTCTTCTCAAGCCAAAAAGCATTAGCATACTGCAATCAGCCAAATTCACTAAGGGTTAAGTGAACTTAGTCTTTTCAACCCTTCCTATGCTAAGTAAAAGCACTTCAGCATACATTTAATTTAATACATTTTCTGCTGAGCCCCTGCTTGGGGAGGAGGGATAGGGAGAAGGAGAGAGAAAAAAAAAAAATCAGAAAAATAAAAAGTGGCTGGGGAAAGAGAAAAGCAAAGACGGGAGAAGGAAAACTGACTGGATCAAACCCCATTGCACCTTGAACATCCACCACCGTTCTCCAGACTTTGTCTCTGGCCTTTTTTTTGTATTTTTTTGGCATTGAAGAATACTTGTAATAAACGAAAAAAGAAATCTCCTTTTGTAGTGCACTAAGCCTTAATGCTCAAGAAAAACATGTAGAGCTTTTCATCTTGTCAATGCCTTTGACAAACCATTCCTGATGATTTTGAAACTCAAACTTTCTAAGCTGAACAAGCTGGCATGTGCACGCCTGCTAGCCTTCTGGATTTCTCTCCTTGGGCTGCCCATCAGGATACGCCTGATACGGTTGTTCAGACCGGAGAGCTGTCTGTCCTCCCTTGGGACAGGGAAAAAAAGGCAAATCTACTTCGTTTGTATCATTAGGTCTCGCCACCGCATCAAACGCTGGACTGTGAGACTCTACAGGTCTGGCAAGAACAGGAATCATACCAAACCAGCTTGAGTTTTTCTGCTTAGTACGAACACTGAAACCGCTGGCATTTGCTTTTGCCGCCTGCCTACAAAGCAGTAATTTTCCGAGTTATCATAAGGCACTTAAATACTTCATAACGAGGCTGTACCTGCAACAGCGTTCTGTTGGACTGTCAGTCAATCTGTACATAGTCGAGTTATTTTCTACTCCAAGGTAGCGTTGCAGGAATCGTCACTTGTCAGATATATGCTCTTACCAAGGCAGAAGAGAATACGGGAACTTGTCATTACCCTGGTTAGACCCATATAGACTTGCTCCTCCATCTCTTCCACGGTGCCGAGGACCGCGGAGAAGAGAGCGCCCGTCCTCATACTGCTGCTGAAATGCAGCAGCACTCTAATTTGGTTATCCGCACCGCTTGTCTTCTGCATGTACAAAGGAGATTTAAGCGATGAAAGCCTTTTGAAATGCTTGTTTGAAGAACAGTATTTGGTGCACGCACTACAATGAAGTTTTCTTCTTTAGCAACGATGTCTGACTGACTGTGGAGGTTACAGATTTTTTTTGCAAAAAAAAGGGGATCCCCTCTTTTTTAATAGCTTTGCCTCAGCCACCTGAATTACCGTTGTAGCGTAGCTAACAACGTTGGCAGAAACCCTTACAAAGCTGATCACCGCAGCTACTGAGTCTGTCAATGGGATCGCGTTCTTCTATGACAGAAACAACCCTTGCATTCAAAACACAGGTGGTTCCTCCGTCTGTAGTTTCCTAGTTAGCATGCTATGAGATAGCATCCCAGTTAGAAGCTGTGAAATGTGTATAATGCAAAATACTAGACAAAACCTGAAATAATTGCTTCAGCTGGAATCTGAAGAAAAATCCAGACCTGGCTAACTCATCTGTGGAGCGGTACGTGCCTATCAACTTGGATTTAATTCAGAATATGGGATATTATGGTGGCTTTTAAAAAGCTCTGAGCACTGGTGTAATTCTCCCCCCAGTGCAGCAGGATCACCTAGTGGCCGAGACACTATCCTAAAATACAGACTACATTACTTTTGCAGAAACATTATGATTCAGGATCAAGTGAGATCTATCCAGTTACCAGAAAGGTAACAAGCCACACAATTGCTTTTCAAAAACTAAATGCTTTTTGATAAAATATGTTCACCTTAAAACCCGGGCATACAGCTAGGTTAAACAGAAAGTGTTGCTAACCATCTACAAACACGTTATTTCAAGAAAAGGCAGACTCAGCTATTGGTCAGCTTCAAACAATTAAAAGTTACCAGAGGTTATGGCTCACTAATTGTATTTAAAGTTTTTAGAAGCTGATGGACAGAACCAGCCATCTGTTTTTCAGCAGTGGCGTTGCAGGTGAAGAATCTGGGGCCCAAAGGAAGAAATCCAGGAGCTACAGTGAAGATTTTTACCCATAACTGACTATACCAAAAAAATCATTTATAAGAAGAATGAGCTCCATAAAAGACGGAGAAGTGGGACTGAATCCCAGTATTGCATATATGTTATCTGGAGAGCTGTACGCTCCTATAATTAGCGATTAAAGCATTTGTAAAGGCTTAAAAGTTTTCAAAACAGGAAAAAACAAGCAGAAAGCCAAGGACAGCATTTGGATGAGACAATGGAGAAATGCCGTAAGAGCTGATAAAATGCTGTGTGCTTTTGCTGCTCTGTATCACCAGTATCAAGCTACGGCCCCTCTGCATCTAGACGTGGCGTCACGACAGATAGAAATAAGGTTACAAAAACATTTCGCAGTTGAAGAGAAGTTTATCACCCCGTGGATTAACTTTCAGACCAGCTGAACACAGCTGAAATGCTGAACATGTATGGCCAAGACAAGGAATACCACATCGTCCACAGCATCCTTGTAAGATTATTAAGATTATTTTTTTGACTGGATTGGCTGCTATATGAAAAGAAAAGCCAGGGGGACGGGCACACAAGTTTCAATCTATTAAACAGTACACTTAAATGAGTAGTTAAAAGTAACGGCATTTTCCTAATGCTTATAATTGACAAATACAATAATTTAAAATTATTACAGTATTCCTTTACAAACCAGGGCTCAGATAATGCCTCTGTCGACACTGATGAGTACCAGTCCTCCCCCTCCTTTTTTTTGTTTATGCCCATAGAAATCATTATACCCATCATTAAAAGAAACTTGGAAGCTACAGCTTGGTACCGACTTTTTGAGACTGAAATCATGCCACAAAAGGGATGGGAATGCAGGCATAGCTCTAACATTTCTGCAGGTAATCCTAGGTAACCACCTCGTGGCTCCTTTTCAGGACAGGAATTAAATGTGGTAGTTTTTTGCGAAGATTTTAATTTTTACAGCAAAAAGCCAGATGCTTGGTCATGTTCTAGTTGCACAAGGAACAAACCAGGCAGCGACAGCTACAAGAGATCGAGGTACAGTTCAGGGTAGTCTGGGTCTCTTTCGTTAAAAAGAAAAAGGAACAAATAAGTGATAATGCCAGAGAAAAGAGAATGGAAACAAGCTGAGAGGATGCGGAGGAAAACACGACGAGCACAGGCATGAGAACATTATCTGGAGAAAAATAATTTCAGTTTGATAAACACTAAGAAGGAACACACAAATGTGCAAAGCCAAGCCAAACTACGGGCAGAGCTGGATGTTCTCGTCTCTGTCCATCCTGGAATACTGTTGCTTTCCTTACTGCAATATAATTAATAATTAGCATGACGTCCTCCTGGGCAAAGGCTTCCAGAGAATTCAATGTTTACTGCTGGAAAGACACTGATATGTGAAAACAGTTGAAAAGGATACGGCTTATAAAATATCAGAGAAGTCAAGCAGCCTAAACGCCAAACCCTCAGGCAGGTGCTCACAGTTCGGTTCCTTACAGGCACGGTTACCCAACAAAAAATAAAGCAGTTGAATCACTGTCAGTGGAGGATGCAAGATCTCAGTGTCACCAAAAGCCTGCTTAATTTATGGTACCCATCTTCTGTTTCCTACACTGGAACTTTCTGAGTGCTCATCCTTTTAATTTAATTTGACATTAAATAAATTTTAATTTTTATAATAATAGAGAACTGGTTAAAAAAGTTCTATTAGGAATGAATGCATATCTCCAGCCTCTAAATGTTAATAATTTTTAGGAGAAAAAGGGAGGCATGTCCACATGTCATTCAGGTTAACTTTGCTTAACCATCCCTCATGGCTCGTACTGCCTAATAAAAACTGAAACAAAATTATTCCGCTTTCTGTTTTCTTTCCTCCTATGCTAGTTTATATGGAAAATAAGAGTCGTTTGAAAATCAGAATTTCAGTCACTTGTGATGTTATGAAGAGACATTTCTAAGCACGGGTGGACGTGAGGCTGTCTTTCACGATGCAATAAGCTTTGTATTAAGTTTCAGAGAAAGGAACACTTCTTTTTAAGATTTCTGGTAGTCTCGCTGAAGTCATCTCCTCTGTGGCTGCAGCCTGCGATCTCAGCAGCCCGATGTTCACTTCAGCCAGCCTTCGGCTGCCGCACGAGATGCGTCCTCACCGCAGAGCTGATTCAAGTGCTCCTGTCCCCACTTCGGCTCCGAGCCGCACAGAAGCCCCTCGCTTGAGCCCGGCTCATCTTTTAACCCTCGGTCCTGGGTGCAGGCTACGAGCCGAGCGCTGCCCGTTTCTGGGTGGTACCCAGGGTATTTCATGGCACGGATGCAAGTTGGATGGTGATAGACTTCTTAATGGCGGTTTGCATTTTTGACCATTTAGCCAGAAAGACGGCAAAGGTCTGCTGGACACTCAGCTGCAGCATCCCATCGCGGCCATGCAACCCGAGCTGGATGAACCGTTCAATTGCCAGCCACCAGTTACCAGCAGTGGCAGTACGGCTGAATTCAAGGGAATACTGAAGTCTTGATTTCAGGGTGAGGAATGAAAGAATTACAGTTTTCTTTAGGCTAAAAATTTAGCCTATCAATACTTAAAGGGGACTTATAAGAAAGATGGGGACAGACTTTTTAGTAGGGCCTACTGCGACAGGACAAGAGGGAATGGTTTTAAACTAAAAGAGGGGAGATTCAGAC